GTATTGGAGGGATTGAGTAACCCTATGTGCTGTTTGGTCATAATCTGTAAAATCAGGGAATGCACACTAAGCATACAGACATGCCATAGTAGGGTGTGTCAATTTCAAACATGGTCACCTTGATGATGCATTGACACTTTTCTTATCAGTTCTAGCATGCTTCATAGCACTGGAAAATTCACAAAATCACAACACCAAGTATCTGTATACTACACAGTCTTCCTATCTCACCAGACTAGTAATGAGCAACAGTTTTTACATGGTAACGTTGGTCTCCGTGTCGGCGCCCTGTCAGCAAGGTATTACTCAGCCGCCCGCCGCGCCCACAGGGATCTTTCCGTCTGCCCGGCATGGAGTGTGACGGGTGGCGGCGGGCCACGTCCGACTGCGGCGTGCCCTACTACGTGCACCACGGCGAGCAGCGCACCTCCTGGACGCACCCGCGGCTCGCGGCGGCCCTGCGCTGCGTGCAGGACTGCGCCTACGTCCGCTACGCCGCCTATCGCATGGCCGTCAAGAGCCGCCAGCTGCAGCGCGCGCTCGGCCTGGACGCCGTGTCGCTGGCGGCCGTCAAGGCGGCGTTCGCGGCGCAGGGGCTGGCGGCCGCTGAGGATGAGGCGACGCTCGACTGCGCGCGCGCCGCCGCCCTGCTGGAATTACTGTTTGACCCGGCGGCGCCGGAGGGCGGCGACGCCGGTGCTGGCGCTGCCGCTGCCGCTGACGCGGACGCTGCCGAGCGGGCGGAGGTGCTGCTGAGCGCGGCGCTGACGGCGCTGGACCGGCGTCGCACCGGCGTCGTGTCCGTCACCGCGCTGAAGCTGCTGCTCGGCCTGCTGTGCGCCGGCCGCCTCACCGACCGCTACCGCTACCTGTACGCAGAGCTGGCCGACGCCGGCGACTGTCTGCCGGCGCCGCGGCTGGCACGCCTGCTCGAGGTGGCCGGCGCCGTCGCTGAGCTGCTCGGAGAGCGCGAGACCTTCGGCCGCCACCTGGTGGCCGGTACGGTGGCCTCCTGCTTCGGAGGAGGCAGCGCCGGCGCTCTGACCAGGGACGGCCTGATGACGTGGCTGCTGCGGGAGCCGCAGATGCTGGTGTGGGTGTCGACGCTGTACAGGCTGACGTCCGCCGAGGAGGTGGTGCACAGCGTCGGCTGTAGCGTGTGCGAGGCCAAGCCACTGGTCGGACTCTGCTACGCCTGCCTGCAGTGTCTCGGCGTCTACCTCTGCCAGGAGTGCTTCTTCCGCGGGCGCGCCGGCCGCGGCCACAAGCCGCAGCACCCGCTGCAGGAGTTCTGCGCGCAGTGGAACCGGCGCCAGAAGACGCAGGCGCTGCTCAAGACGCTGTGGAACAAGTTGAGTGGCCGACGGGAGCGCGCGCCGGCCGCGCTACCGCCGGCCGCCGCCTCCGCCGCCGCCCCCGGTCGCTCCCGCCGCCGCCCCCGCCGCTGAGCAGGACGAGGACCCGCCGTCCTCGTCCTCCTCCGACGAGGACGACGAGCTGCTGTCGCGCACGATCCTGGACGGCTCGGTGGCGCTCGACCCGCGGCTGGACAGCATTCTCGGCCACCTCGAGTCCGAGAACGGTCTGCTGGCGGGGGAGCTGCGGCGGCTGCGCGGTGTGCTGCCACCGGGAGAACGCGTGCCCGTCGCGCACACGCGCCAGATGCGCGCGCAGCTGCAGCGGGCGCGCGCTGGTCGGTCGCCGGCGGCGCGATGAGCCGCGGCCGGCCACGCCGCCGCCGGAGTCGCCGCCGCGGCCAGCCCACCTGCAGTCGACGCCGATGCCGCGGCTCTCGCAGCTTAGTCCCATCGCGCGCGTGCCCCCCACGCCCCCAGCGCGCGATGCGCCCGCAGACGAGTACGGCCTGGTCTTGTCGCCGCAGTCGGGCGCCGGTGGCGGGGCGGCGAGCCCGGCGCTGCAGAGAGGCGCGGGCGCAGATGACGCTACCGCCGCGCCACCAGGCGGCGCTGGCGCTGCGCCGACCAGCCCGGACGCTCCGGATTTCAGCCGCCGCCTGCCGGACCTCACCGAATACTCGCTCTCCGACCTGAGCTCGCCGCAGCGGGTCGACCTGACGGTGCCGGCTGCCTCGCCGCTATCGCCCTCGCCGGCCGTGCGGAACGCCGAGGAGGCCCTGGCGGTGCTGGCGGCGGAGGTGGCGCTGCTGGAGGAGACCACGAACCGCGGGCCGGAGACTTGGCCCAGCGGGGCCCTGATGGGCACTGTGCCGCACCAGACGGCCGCCGAGCTGCTGGAGCTGCTTTCTGACCTGGAGAGCCTCTGCGTCACCGCCAACTAAACGACGCGGCGGAAGCGTCATGGCTCAGCGGTCGTGAGCCTTTGAAAACCACTCGAGAACGGGATGCCTTTGAGAACCACTAGATAATGGACGACGGGTGTTTTGAGCCGCGCAGTCTTGTGATTGGATGCGTTATCATGTCTCCCTGTTGCTAGCAAAAGCCGTGTTTGTGCTGCCCGCCGCCGTTTGAGCAAGTAGCATTAGAAGATGCCGTTATGCTCAGCTGAGGGATGCAGATCAGCGCCAACCGCCCAGAACTGGACAGAGATCATGGTACTGGATTCGACGGTATCGCCAGGTGCAGCGAGACCCTGACAGCTTGATATGCTTTGCAGTTGTTTTTCCTGTGTAGTGGCATTTGAAGACAACTGCTTTGATGGTTGTGTTGAGACTGGACCGACCAGGTGGTGCGATTCTGTCCCTAGTTGGTTCACATTTGATGATTTGTTTTGAGCAAATTCACCCAACCGGTTGTATGAGTGACTTACAGGTTGTGCGTTCCGTCCGAAAATGGAACTAAAAGGCAGTGTGGCAGCTACTGCATGTTCGTTCTTGCTAGCCATTGTGTCGCTTCACCTTAAGGTGTGGGCACACCCGTGATTGTTGCTTATAACTTGGTTGTGAAATTGGACTCAGTTGTTTTTGTTTGCTTTATGACGGCTTTTATCGCTTTTCGATGGTTATTTGAGCTGAAACTGCTTGGCAGTCATCTGCGATTTTATGTACCACGTGTCGCTCCCTGCCGTACTGATTCTGCATTTGATATTGATAATTATGTAAGTGTACTTAACCGTTCCAATTGCTCAAAACATGCGTCAGTGTTTTAGAGCGGCGAAATATCGTTGGCTTGCTATTGCGCTGTCTGCCGTATTCAAATGTCATCACACGTGAGTGTATCACCAGTGTGCGACGATCATGTCGTTCACAACACTGCTTGGATGAATGAGTTTTGGACATCATTGCCATGAGTAAATGCTTCACGACAAGCGCGTGTTTTGTATGTGTGCCTCCGCCGCCTGTCGCTGCTGTTTTACGTTCGTTCAACCTGTGATTTATCACCACACCGCGCTAATGCAATACATATTCCATGACGTAGTAGGCAGCATGCCCTGTAAACACTTTATTAAATTAAGTCAATCGAATTTGCGGCGTAGACTGGAGCCGGCGGAAGTTACTCATGTGGCACTGACGCTCGACTCTTCCTATGGCGGCGGCGGTGAGTCTGCTCGGCTCGTGACATGCCGTGGGTGTACCGCCCATTTGGGGCGTCTACCGGCTGTCACTGGACGGTGTCGAACGGGATTATGTCGCGTGTACTAATGAGCAGTTTCATCGTAATACATTCCGGTGCGACCTGATGGCGATTACGCATGTAGGCTGAGTGGGCGAATCTACAAAGCTGCTCGCGGCAGGTGTCGGCGGTGACGCAACCTTCGTTTAAAGTACATTGCAAGTCACGGCGAAGTCGCACAGGAGGGCCTCGGTCCTGCAAAGGGTAATACTGCAAGACACTACGAGTTCGCGTGCCTCAAATACAGTAGGTACATAACGTGGAGCACGTGGGCAAAACGAGCATCCCACTGCCGACGGAAAGCTCGGGCTTAATAGCGTCGCCGTTCGTCAGTTCCGCTTGACGACCTCTATGCCTCTGGACGCCGACCTTTGGGACCATGGGGTGGGGGTGTGCGATTACAGATCAATCGAATCGTGAGCATTACTGGCAGAGCGGGTCACGCTCGCCAAACAATGCCTCACTGCATGCTTTCAATGAACACCTGGCGAGCTTGCTCCACACAACGTGGTCAGCTATACCCCAGGCGAGAGCAATTCCGCATCATACATACATACATACATCAGGCACCCTCCCCATGCGGGGTGACATCAACGCTGGCTTATTTATGACCTTTTGCAGGACGGTGAGACCGCAGCAGCGAGTGAGGATATTGCCCGCCGCGTCCTCCTCTGAACCGAGGCCATGAAGTTTTCTGCTGCTGTTGACCGCTTGGTGCGCCGCTGCCCGCGCCGACTGGTGGCCACACCGTCTCGCACGGGGTCACGGCGGCGATATGACGGATACGTGGCCAGAGAGGAGCCTATGGCGGATACGGTAGCCAGAGAGGAGCCTATGGCGGATACGATGGCCAGAGAGGAGCCTATGGCGGATACGGTGGCTAGAGAGGAGCCTCTGGCGGATACGGTGGCCAGAGAGGAGCCTATGGCGGATACGGTGGCCAGGGAGGGACCTGTGGCAGATACGGTGGCTAAAGAGGAGAGTATTGGCGGATACGGTGACCAGGGAGGAGCCTATGGCGGATACGGTGGCCAGGGCGGAGAATTATGATATGGTTATGGTGGAAGCAGTGGCGGTATGGTTATGGCGCCAATGGTCATGTGAATCCGGGCTTGGAGTTAATGGTCAAGCGAGATTCGGCAGATACGGCTACAGCAGTCCGTACGGTGGTATGGAGGATATGAGAGATATTGATGTGATGTGCATTGTAAATACACTAAAGAAACTTTAAAAATTACCTGGAAGGCCTTGCATTGACTTATTTCACCTCCACGTTGCATGAGCCTCTGCTTGTAACTGGTCCCTATCCTCTTCTGAACGCAACCTAGATCGTCTTTGCAAGGCAGTATGTAACTTAAGTTAAATATGGCGTGCGTTCAGTCCCGAGCGTCTGTTCAAGCGTCTGCGCGGGTTGGCTCGGGGCACTGCACGTGCTGCTTGGTATGTACTACCCTCTGTGAACGCCAACGGCGCTGGCTGTCCCCACGCGTCCAGCCGCGTCGATTGAGATCTCCGCCGCGGAGGGCCGCTGGAAAATTCCGCCATCCTTGCCACGCGCGTTCACAGACCAAGTGGCAATGGGGCTCTCCATAACAAAACGACAAAAAACAAAGCTAAAACTTTCTGCAGGCCATCCCAACACGAGGAAACAGCGAGACAAGCGTGCGGAAGAGGCCGGACAGGGCGATTGGTGGAGCGAGGCCTGCCAGCCTAGGTCCCCGCTGGCACCGGCAGCATACCGTGGCCGTGGGGGATGCGCACGCGGCTGTGTTGGGGATAATGCTCAACAGCAGCTGACATGGAACGAGCTGGCGGGAGAGGAGGCATGTCGGGTGTACCTCGCCTGCACAGTGGCTGGCCCCCCCGCCCCTGGTGACGCCCGAGGATGCGGGCATATCCCTTGATCGCGCCTCTCTGCGGCGCTGCGGCAGCGGAAAAAAACCGGGTCAGGGCGCCTGGCGGGCCTGTACTGCGCCGATCTCGGTCGAGCGGTGGCGGACCGCGAGCGACCTGCGACCGAGAAGGGCCGGCTCGGTGACGGCACAGTGGAGGGGCTATCGCGAGCGCTTGTCTGTACCCGTCAACTGGGAAACAGACGGGTGGCGCAGTGCGGGCTGAGCGAGGAGGTGCGGTGCTCCTGAGAACGGACTGGCGGTGGCGACACGCCAGCGGGGAGAGATCGGCGCCGGGACAGCAGCACAGCGAGGCCGTGAGTGAAACGACCGAACCAGCGCAGTGCCGGCGAAGCCAGCAGCCGCAGTTCGGACGCCAGCGCGTCCTGTCCTCGGACGGTCGCGGAGCCCGGGCAGACAGTGAGACCCGCGAGACCAGCGCTCCGCCAGCAACGCACGCTCCAGGCGGCAGCGGATCCGACGACGATGCTGTGGCTTCCTACGCTCGGCGCTGCGGCCGGCCGGCCGGCGCAGCCTCGCCACCAGCACCTGCACGGCGGAGATCGGTGGCCCGCGAGGCACGCCACGGCGCCAGCAACTACCAGCCGCTGCCGGTGGCGCTGCAGCGCGGTCTCGGCGCGCTCGTGTGGGACGTGGACGGTATAAGCGCTACTTTCGACTTCCTGTCGGCGTACTCGGCCGTCAACCAGGGCCACTGCCACCCGCGGATCGTGGGCGCGCTGACCGAGCAGGCGTCGCGGGCTCACACTGACGTCGAGGGCGTTCTACAACGACGCGCTCGGCGAGTACGAGGAGTACGCCACGCGGCTCTTCGGCTACGACAAGCTGCTGCCGATGAACACCGGCGTGGAGGGCGGCGAGACGGCCATCAAGCTGGCCCGCAAGTGGGGCTACATGAGGAAGGGAATCCCCGACAACGAGGCGCGCATCGTCTTCTGCGAGAACAACTTCTGGGGGAGAACGTTGAGCGCTGTGTCGTCGTCGAGTGACCCGACGGCGTACCGCCACTACGGACCCTTCATGCCCGGCTACGACATCATCCCGTACAACGACCTGTCCGCTCTGGATGCAGTCTGCAGCAACCCGCGCACGGCCGCCTTCATGGTGGAGCCGATTCAGGGCGAGGCAGGTGTCGTCGTGCCCGACGAGGGCTACCTGCGCGGCGTGCGAGACATCTGCACGCGCCACAACGTGCTCTTCATAGCCGACGAGGTGCAGACGGGCCTGGCGCGGACCGGGCGGCGGCTCGCCTGCGACCACGAGGGCGTGCGGCCCGACATCCTGATCCTCGGCAAGGCGCTGTCCGGCGGCGTGCTGCCCGTCTCGGCCTGCCTGGCCGACGATGAGGTGATGGGCTGCATCCGACCTGGGACCCACGGCTCCACGTACGGCGGCAACCCGCTGGCGTGCCGCGTGGCGATGGCGGCGCTGAAGGTGATGGAGGAGGAGAAGCTGGCCGAGCGGGCCGAGCGGCTCGGGCAGCTGCTGCGCGAGCAGCTGGCGCAGCTGCCGGCCGACGCGGTGACGGCGGTGCGAGGCAAGGGCCTACTGAACGCGGTGGTGGTGGCCGGGCGGCTGGACGCGTGGGAGGTGTGTCTGAAGCTGGCCGAGCGCGGTCTGCTAGCCAAGCCAACTCATGGGGACGTCATCCGCCTGGCGCCGCCGCTCGTCATCAGTGAAGAGCAGCTGCTGGAGTGCGCCGACATCATCAAACTCACCATCGAAGGCATGTAGAACCGGCAAACTGGCTGCGACGATGCCCCTTAGCGAAGAGCGATTGCTGATGCGCTTTGAAT